TGATGATGATACAACTGCTAAGCAGGAAGTTGCATGGACAGCTACTGGGGTGTCCTTCAGGGACACAGGCGACAATGACCAGACAGAACACTTTCTGGCAGCTCCTCTATTCAGGTCATCAAAAGGGTCGATGTCCTCTGGACTCATCAACTTGCCACAAAACGGTTACAAAAGCCTACGAAGCTCCAACGATATGACGTACATATTCCATGTGACGCAAGGGCGTATCGAGGTGGAGCTCAATCAAGATCGTTTCGTTGTTTTGACGGGCTGTTCCTTCATTGTTCCCAGTTCAAACATCTATAGTTTGAGAAACGTCGGTCAACAGAGTGCTACATTATTTTTCGTTCAATGCAGAGAATGAAGCTTCTGTCTACGCCTCCAATACACGTGAAAAAAAAAAAGAAAAATTTTTTTTTGATGATCGTTTATGAGAGTTTTGACAGTATTTAATCGATTAGTACTTCTTGAATTGGCCATTTTCGATATCAAGGTTCCCAAGCAAGTGTGCCTTGAATTCTGTAGCGGCAACACCAAATTGCTTAAGAATCAATGCTTTCGTCACATCCAATTTGTCGCCTTTAGCACAAACTTCATAGGGATTTTCCAAAAAAATTTTGCCGCTCTTAATCTTAGTGGGCAACTTATACTTCGTTCTCAATGTAACCTCCAAAGAATGGGACATCGGAACATCCTCTTCTAACGGTATCTGGCCACCTCGGGAGTAAACAATTCCTTCAGGGATCGTGAAGTCTATGGGGGCCTCGTTGTTGGCTTTGGCGTAGTCAAACTTAACAAAGGCTTCGAAGTATGCTTCGACCGTTTCTGGTGCTTCATTAGTAAATAAACATGCGGTGATACCTTCTGGGGCAGCAATTATTTCGCTGACCTTATTAGAATTTTCCTTGTAGGCATCTTGGATAGATTCACCCAAAGCCTTTTGAAATACCTTTCTCTTGCCCACAATGATTTTAGAACCAGCCCAGTCGGCTCTTATGTCCTGAAGAAAATTATTTCTGAGATCACCTAAATGCAAAGCATACACGTATCGGTATTCGTCTAATGCCTCTCTAATGGAGTCGAAAATGCGGAGCTTATTCTCTTTACCCTTTTTATCGGTCTTGGATAGCGTAACCAACTTCGAGCGTCTAGATCTAGGCATACTATGTTATCAAAGCAGATTATTTTATGGTGATGAGCATCGCATTATCCTTAGTGAAGGTAGCCTGTAGTCACGTGACTTGCCTTGATAATAGCTGCCATGATGAATTCCTAATTTCCTACTAAATTTGATAATGTTGATTTAAAAGAGTCAAAATCCGATTTCATCTATCCTTAATCAACAATTGTGTCAACTCTTCAGTTCATGACCAAAATTTATTGTCAACGGTTGTCGCAAATTCGAGCTATGATACTACATTTGAAGGCATTCCTTTTCAGCAATAGGTAGCAATTGAAGGAAGCAATTCCTAGATCAGAATCTCATCACAGCTTCATCCAAACATGATAGCAGTTTGCCAAACGATCCCGTGTGTAAGACTCACCCTACCGGAAAAGTGGGTTTGTTTCTTCGGTTTGCAAGTTGCTTTGTTAGGTTGACTGGTTACCAAAGTAAAAGCCAGAGAATGTCAAGATAAATTAAAATCTGTTGCAGCTACAACGGCAATGCCAAGGGCCTTCTTTTTATTGTGTATACTCAGCTTGAAAAGTAGTGGAGTTGATAGATCTGACTGCGGCATTTGCCTCAGTTAGTGAAGTTCTGAAGTAAAGCTGCAACTGACAACATGCCAAATGATGAGATCTACCAATCGCCTGGGATTACAGCCTCCTTTGGAGAAGGCAAGTTTCTCTCATACTTCGTACCGCCAGGTCTGCAAGGAGGAATGTAAGGGTCAGGGTGTTTCCACTCTTGAAGCTTGGCCCTGGTTTTCTCGATCAATGTCTCCAATTCGTTAACATCTGACACATGTCTTCCGGCTTCGAACTGTTGTCTGATCTTAATTGTCTCTCTTCTGTATGCATCAAATTTGAGGGATGAGTCGAACGCCGTCCTCAAAGCCTGTCTAAATAATGAGGCAACACGCTTTGTGTTGGCCTCTGTGAAAGGCATTATATGTTTCAGCATGGTGCAAGACTATTACGTATATGCTCTAAGTTCTCCGTTGCAAATTTGTTTTATTCTATTGGTTAACTGCGTGTGGTGTACGGATTTCGTTATTTTTGATCCGCGACATTCATCAAGCTTCCAACAAAAGATAACACCAAACGACTTCTGACTTCATTTATGTCCTCAGGTACAAGCCAAATCAAGGCTCCAAGTTTTCTAGCAATAGAAATGGCCAACCTTGCGTTTGCGTACTTCTCCTCTTCGCTGATATTGGCTCCCTGATACACTAAGTCGTAATCAACGTAGCCAGGCTTGATACCATTGAGCACGTCCAACAAATATACACCGTTTGACAATGAAGAATCCTTGAAGGATCTGATTGCAGCGCTCTTCCCACCCTTCGATACTTGAGAATTGGCCCATTTCAAAATGTCGGAGTCACTAACATTTTTACCATTTCCGAGGCTGGACAAAGTGTTGACTATGTTGCGTCTCATCAACTGCCATACTAGACCAAGCGTCAACAACTTATTACCATCCACGATGTCCGATCCCTCTATTCCCACCAAAGAAAAGTTGTTAGCCTTTCCTATCTCGACACCATAATTGGTATTTTCCAAGGCTTTAAAACGAGAGAGTTCACTACCATTTGCTGGCTTCTTGTTAATGTGCTTGAAAGAAACACTTCCGGGCAACACCTTGTCGAAGGCTTGCAAAAGAACCAAGCCATCTTTCAAATCCTCGAAAAGAGACACAATTGGTGGATCCACATCCAATGAATTAAGCCATAGAGTAAAAACTCTTGCCTCTCTCTCCCCCTCTGCGTCAAACTCTTCAATTTCTGGAGCTTCACTTTCTTCGATGGGATCTAAGCCTGGATACGTGTTGAACAAATGTGCAACAAACGCGAGATTCAACTTGGGATTACCATTAACAAGTGCACTAGGTGTCAAATACTTCCTCACACCAATTCTTTCTGCACTTTCCAAAATTCTTTCAGCTCTCTCATGAAGGTCATTGACTTTCAAAGGAGACAAATCACATGAATCCGGTTGTAATTGGTTCAAAAGCACAGTGTAATTTTCACCATCGCTAATATCTTTCGAAAAATTGTTGACACGTCTTTGGGAGCCCGCATTCTTCAAATGATAATTGAACCAACGCAACAAAATCTGCTCCGGTGGTAATCTCAAAAATTGTTCCAAAGACTCGTCCTCCTCCAAGAGTCTGTAAAGTTCAGGGTGATACTTGATGTCAACCTTCGATAACAACCCTCTACGGATAATTTGCCAAATCAATCCCAAGATAAGATGCTCTTTTCCGTCAATGATATCTTCTGAATGAACATTGACAACCACACAACCAATTGCTTTCGCAGAATTGATTACAATGTTTGCATTCTCAGACATCTGAAAGTTATTGAGTGTCTTCTTCTTCTGGGTTGGCAAATTGAGAACACGGGTGTCAATTGTGTCAGGCACGGAATCATTAATGAGCTTCGACAACACTAAACCATCACGACATTCATCAAAAATCTGAAAGGTTTCTGTGTCGAATGGTAACCGATCCCCGACATGAGAGTCACCTGAAAGCACTGAATTGATATGGCGAGTGAACTCGGTGCGCTCTTCGTCATTGATGGTGTGCGTTGTACCAGATGTCTTACCACTGATATAGGTTTTGTGCCCAGTTCCGGCTTTCCGATTTGGTGAAGCAGCCGAATCTTGAGAAGGAGTCTGAGAAGATCCAATCGAAAATTGTCCTTTAGAAGGCGTCGTGTTCTCTTCCTTCAATTTCGCAATCAACTCGACGTAATCGTCCAACTCAACATGGCCAGAAGCATCAACATCAACAGATTTGAGGGTTTCACGAACGTGATCATAGGAGGATTCTCCTTTCAGAGCAATTGCATTGATGACATCTTTCTTCTCGGCCCAGCCCTTTTCTTCCAAATCAATGCTGCGAAACTCTTCGATGACCGAAAAGATCTCACTTTGTTCCAATTGTGGAAATCTCTTCTGTAATTTCAACACGTTCATCTTGAGCTAAACGGGTTCAAACAATGGAAAGATATAAGTGTACGTTGATAACAGCGCACTAACAGTAGGGGTGTTTACTCGGTATATACACGACTTTAGTTGTGGCTCACAACTAACATCATGCCTTTTAACATCGGGTACGAGTCCCTCATCGATCCTTGCAAACGCGATTGACCTATTTCTATTCGCAACCCAGATTTATGCTAGAGTATAGCAGTTAAGCAAGTGCTCTACAAGTTCTAGTCGAAGAACAGTCATGTCTTCTTTGCTGCGCTCTCCGAAATGGTGCAGTATTGGTCATAGGGAAGCGAACCGTTGATATAACGTCACTGAAGCTATACTATCTCCTGATGCTTTATGAACACTAGAGTGGATGACTAGACTTTGCAATAAAGAGTTGGAAGTAGCTCATACCCTAAGCACGGTTGTTCTGTCTGTCAGTAAGGCTCTAATCGTGCTTGTATTCTTGAAGAGACAGAGATTCGAGACATTACCACGACTCACCACCTGTGATTAGATTCTTCTTTTGAAGCTTTTGCGGGAGAGCGACAGCGGTGCTTGATCTGACGTATCATGTAGATGATGAGAATCTATCGTTACCATGATTCTCCTGCAGTTTGTAGACGCCCTCGATAGCATGAATTATACCAGAGATTCGTACCTTCACCTTATCCTCGAAAATGATGCACGATGCAAAGTTGCAAAAGCCCACTTTTTCTCTCAATGAGGTTAGATTGCTGTTTGACATTGAATCAAGATTAAGCCATTTCCTAATTACCAACAATACTGCTTTCGTGATTTGTGGGGATGTCGCCCGAAGGTTTACTTTGGACGAGCCATCAAAAGTGCTTTCAATGCGATTACCTAGACAGTCCCCTCAAGACACAGTTTCTGGACTATGGGCTAGTCTGCGTGCAACACATCTCATAATCCAGGTTAATCACTCGCTTCATTTTTATCTTCATGAGAGCTACACATCTTTCAAGGCACTTCCTAAACTCAATGGCCTCAAAATACAGAACATAACTTTTCGAGAAGACCTTCCGAACTCTGGGGTGGTAGAGCTAGTTAGCACGACGACCAATGATTGTATCTTTGTTGTTAACATCAAGCCTCACACAAGTGAAAATAAGCGTGATGACAAACTAGTGAAACAAGTACTAAAATGCAAAAGTGAAGTCGTCTGTGTTTGTGTCAGCACGAATGAAAGTCGTGTTTATGTTGTTTCAAAAAGCGAGTTGGCTATTTACGAACCCGCAGACTTCTCACATAAGCTGTTGGTCGAAGTATTTGCGTCTCAACCTCTAATCCTGAAGCATACATTGGGTGAAAATAGATCTGCTGTTAAATTGAACGAGTTTCATGTTCTTACAGGCACCTCTGCTTTTGTGAGCAATGACCAAGAGGCATTGCTCGCTCCAACCTCAAAATGGAATGGTTTTAACGTCACAGAACTACTATCATTCACTACTACCCGACACCATTACATTTTTATCTACAAGAGTGATCAAATTGTGATTCAAGACAAGCTTTTGATGCATCCACCTATAGAATTGAGCCCAAATGTTATGCAAGGTATCAATGGTATAACATCTGATCCTGTAAAGCAGACGGTGTGGGTTTATAATGATTCCTCAATCTACGAAATTGTTGTTGGCAATGAGCATTCATCAATATGGTATGGTTACTACATCATGGGGCGCTTTGACGAGGCGCTAGCACTACTAGACGAAGAGCCATCAAATTCTAACTTGGAGACTTACAAAAACTTTGTGAAAGTGAAAAAAGGGTATAGTTTACTTCAAAAAGGTGGCTTTGGAATGGATATCTCACAGGAAGAGAATCGCAAAGCATTGTCTGAGTCACAACTTCGTGGCGTTCGAAATTTGGCTTGTTCGATGGAACCCTTTGAAAAAGTCTGTCTTTTGCTCAGCAAAGCCCATAACCATTTGGAGTCCCGAACTTGGCATTACGAACTATTGATTGCGTATCTTCGGGAAAAGCTTTCCCTTGCTAAGAAGGAGCGTTCGAAAATGAAAGCCGTCATCATAGCGACTTGGACATTGCTTCTATATTCACAGGAAATAGCAGCATCTAAAGATAAGGCTAATGTGCTATTGGCAAGAGAAGATCATCACCACGCCAAGCCGGAATTGATCGAGGAGTTGAAGCAATTCTTGGACGTAAATCAAAGTTTCCTCGACCCCGAGCTGGTAATCGAGATTCTTTTGAAGGCCGATCTTGATTCAGTCCGGATGCATTATGCGGTCATTAGAGGGGAGTTTGAGTACATTCTCACCTTCCACTTAGAGAACGGAAATTGGACAGCAGCTATAGCGACTTTGAAAAAAGCGATAGAAAGCGAGGGCAGTTCAGGAAGAGAACTCTTGTATACAACGGCGCCATTATTGTTACAGATTTGCCCCAAAGTGACGGTTGACACCTGGGCTAAGACGACGGGACTTCAGGTCCGGCGACTTCTTCCTGCGATCCTTGATTACGTCCGTAAACATGATCATTTGCCACTACCAGAAAACCACGCTCTTAATTTTCTCGCAGGAGTGACGAACGAAAGCAATTGTGAAACAGCGATAAACGCATACCTCGCTCTCATAGTAAGGTATCCTGATGACGATCAACAGAGGGCAACTAAAGCTTTGCTTAAAGCCATAAATCATCTTCGTGATTGCAAATCTGAAGTTGTTTACGACAAACAACTCATACTTCGACTAGCCATACAGCATGGGAAGTTGTGGCCCGCGGTTATTATCATGATAGATGATTTGCAACTCTACGAGACATCCTTGAAGTTTGCCTTAAAGCACAAGGATATCCGATCAGCGGAGTATATCTTGCGAAAATTTGAGAGGAATTTGACGGAAAGTGCTGAATATAAAAGACAAACGACTAGCGAGTTGCAGATGTCATTAAGCCACTTATCCGACAATGATCAAAACATGAGAAAGCGCCTTTGGCTTGTTTTTGCTCAATTTGTCATGAAACACTCTGCGGGTGACTTCATGTCGTTACAGAATACTTATTTTGAGAGGCATCTTAAAAATGGATCTTCCAGATTCGAAGATCGCATTCGTTATCTCATCGATTATGCAAAGGAGACATCACGTTTCAAGTCTCCATTGAATGTGAAAGACTTGATTGCGCTTTTGCCAGAGCAAGTTGAAATCTCGCAATTAAAAGAGGAGATCGTCGACTCACTCGATAGCCACAATGACTCTATTGCATTATTGACTAGTGAAATGAAGGAGCTGGCTCTCATTTCCTCAAAGTTAAGAGAGCAAATTACTACATTTCGTGATGAGAAACGCAATGGACAGATTGGAGTTTTGGTAGAGGCTGGCGAAGCCTGTGCTCTTTGTTCAAAGCTACTTTTGGAGAAAAACATCGTTGTTTTCGCTAACTGTCAGCATTGCTATCATAAAGATTGCGTCGCACGTTATCACCTTAAACAACGAGGTGAGTATCGTTTTAAGGAGATGTTTCAGAAATTTCGTCAGCAATCTACGCCATTCGACAGAGAGGAGCTTGATCAGATTTTTTTGAAGCGATGCGTTTTGTGCCACGAAGTTAATTTAAACTCCATTGACGATAACATAATCGACATTGAGAAAGACAAGCAGCAGGTCTTAGAATGGATTCTATAGTACTGCATATCACACACGTGATACTACAGGCATCTCTTTTTTTTGCGCTTGATGCCATCTATCGTACCTCAAAGCTTCTATGGGAAAAACTCAGAAAAAGAATAGTAAAGGTCGTTTAGATCGCTACTACTATTTGGCAAAGGAGAAGGGTTACAGAGCTAGATCTTCCTTCAAGCTTATACAGATTAATGAGAAATATGGTCATTTCTTGGAAAAGTCCAAAGTTGTGGTAGACTTGTGTGCTGCTCCTGGATCGTGGTGTCAGGTAGCCTCCAACCTTTGTCCAATGAACTCATTAATTGTCGGTGTGGATATCGTTCCGATGAAGCCTCTCCCTAAATGCATTCTATTTCAGTCGGATATAACCACTGAGGATTGCCGCTCGAAGCTTCGAGGACATCTCAAGACGTGGAAAGTGGATACATTTCTACATGACGGAGCTCCCAACGTGGGTTTAGGATGGGTTCAAGATGCTTTTACCCAATCACAGCTTGTCTTAAAAGCTCTCAAGCTAGCTGTTGAGCATCTTATTCAAGGCGGAACTTTTGTCACAAAGGTTTTTCGGTCAAAGGACTACAATAATTTGATGTGGGTATTCCAGCAGCTCTTTGATAAAGTTGAAGCCACGAAGCCACCAGCCTCGAGAAATGTTTCCGCTGAGATCTTCGTTGTTTGCAAAGGCTTCAAAGCACCCAAAAAGTTAGACAATAGATTGCTTGAACTCACAGACGTCTTTGAAGAAATTGGCAAACCAAAAGACAACAATGAGGCAAAAGTTTTCAATCCAGAGAAGCGAACGAGGAAAAGGGAGGGATACGAAGAGGGAAACAACATTTTATTCAAGGAAATGGATATCCTTGAGTTCATAAGAGATGACGAACCCATCAACAAATTGGGAGAACTAAACAAATTGGCAATCCCAACAAAAAGTTCGGAGTGGAGGATGTTGTGCAAGCTAAAGCTTTGGTCGTCAGAGCTCGAAGAATGCGTGAGTGACCTTAAAGTGTTGGGCAAAAAAGAATTCAAACGAATCCTTAAGTTTAGAAAAAATGCTAGGAAAGCGCTTCAGCTCGATAAAGCTCCTGAAAGTGACTCTGAAGAGAAGCCTGTTTTGACAGAGGAAGAGCAAATAAGTCAGGAGTTAGCTTCGCTCACGGAAAAACAGCGTCAAAGAAGAAAGCGGGAGAAAAAGACAGCTAATGAAGTGAAACAGCGAGAACTCAAGCGTCTTCAAATGAACATGCTTACCGATATGTCGATTGGTATAGATGCCGCCAATAACGCGTCTCAGTCTTTATTTAACTTGAAAGCGGTCAAAAATACTGGTGCAATGGAATCCATAGCTGACGGAAAGAAGACGATGATATTGTCAGACAAAGGCCGTAATGTGGATACCTTGCTGGATGACGAGGAATCTGTGTCTCTGGACTCAGAGAAGGAGAATGATGATCTTGAAGCTCAACTAAATGCTTTACACGATCAGTTTAAGCAAAGAAAGTTGGAAAGGGATGCCAATTATCGGGCCAAGCTTAATCGAGGCGATTTAGATGAGGAGAAGTGGGATGGTATAACCAGTGATGTGGATAGTGATGATTCAGAGAATGACCAGTTGGTGATGGAGAATAGTGATTCTGATGATGAGGATGATGAAGCTATTTCGAGGATGATGGAGATCCGAAACTCTCAGTCGGCTTCTTTGTCTAAAGAAGCGCATGCTTTTTATGCGGTCAATCCTCTCATTGGCAATATTGACGACAGCACTCTTCTTTCCTCGCTTCAAAACTCCGAACCTGGAACTTCGAATGTGGTCCAGACCGATCCAGAGTCTTCTGAAAAGATCGATTTCGAACTTGTCAAGGGGCAATTCGCCGACAACAATGAGCGTGCGGAAGATAATGATATGAAAGAGAAGCATTCGTCCACCGTCGAGTTAGATACTGCTGAAGCTATGACCTTGGCGCACCAAGTAGCGCTCGGTCAGAAGAACAAGCATGATCTTGTAAACGAAGGAATTCATCGGTACTCATTTAGGGACAAAGATTCTCTTCCGGACTGGTTCATCGAGGATGAGAAACGGCATTCGAAGATCATCAAACCCATCACTAAAGAAGCAGCAGCAGCGATTAAAGAGAAGCAAAAGCAACTTAACTCTCGGCCTATCAAAAAGATTTTAGAAGCTCAGGGTCGGAAGAAGATGCGTGCAATCAAGAGACTTGAGAAAATCAAAAAGAAGAGTGACCTTATTAACGAAGATGCTGACAAAAGTGAACGTGATAAGGCCGATGAAATCCAGCGCATGATGAGAAAACTCTCCAAGAAGGAGACAACTAGGCCAAAGCCGACACTTGTGGTCGCAAAGGGTCATAATCGTGGTCTCAGTGGCAGGCCCAAGGGAGTGAAGGGCAAATATAAAATGGTGGATGGCGTCATGAAAAATGAACAGAGAGCACTTAGGCGAATTGCCAAAAAGCACAAATAATCCGCCATCTATCTCTGGCATTGCCTCAACCCCCTTTTATAGAATATATTGTAAGACTAGTATTTCCTGAGGAGAGAAATGGAGGATTACGTCAGAATACAGGAATATGCGTAGCAGAATCTTCGCGAGTCTAGGTGTGTTAAAAGCGTCTTCACCACTTTTTTTTTGTTCAATAAGTTTTGTTGAACACTCATACGTCACTCTGCTGAGCCAGACCGACCATTCAATAATAATTTGCTACCTGGTAGCGTCCACTCGTTTGACATAGCTGCATCTTGTTGCAAGGGCCTCATGAGTCTTATAGATTGTGTTTTGGGAAATTAGCATCAACTGCGGCGACGTGATCCTATGAACTCGGAGAAGCGTCTGTGGCACCGTCATCGAAGATCGGCGGCCATTTCGGGCTCGTTTGATGCGACAAGTTTTGTGTCATCCCCGTCATTTATTGAAGTTGCTAACCTGGGCAATCTCACCGACATACGGAGTCTACAATTGCATACTTCCACCAAAGTTGAAGCAAAGCTCGAGTTGAACGATGACCTAAATCTTCCTGATCAAGACTCAGTTCAGGCAGAAGATTTTTGCAATTGCCCCTCAAAAGAGAGCTATTCCTTCCCCTCCAAGCTTCAAATTCAGAACGAACGTTCAACTCCCGTTGCGCCTGATTCACCATTGCCAAAAAATGCACCCTTCAAGACAGATGCGTCCCTAAAATTGCGTCGGAAGGACGAAAACACGAGTTATACGCCTCGCTTTTTCTTGACCGAGGAGACAACTTTGGGAGAAGGCAATGTTCCAGATGCAATTATAGACCTCGATTCTGTGTCACGGGTCAGTCAATACCGTAAAAGCACTTCGGAATCTTATGTGGAATCGACAGATACCCCGGGTACGGAGAATGTTTTCTTTGACTCTTTTCGAACATTTGGTACAACGACCTCATTAAAGACTGGTTCGACTGATGCCGGCGAAAGCTGTAAGGAGCTCAAGGTAAATAGTTGTGGCTATGAGGCAAAAGGTAAGGATGCTTCAAATGCCATACGTCATACGTCAGAATGTTGTACCGAGGAAGAAGAACCCAACTACGATTCGAGAATGTCTTTTCGCAGCGGTCAGTCAACTTCTCAAAAGTGCCAGGCGAAAAGCAATTTGGTGGGAGCTGCATGTCTTTCAGGGTGGCAGTCAGATTATTCTAAGTCGATTGACACGATCAACATCATGCTGGACAAAACTAGAAGTCTACAAGCAGAATGTAAAAAGGTTAACGCCAATCTGATTCCAAAGGCGCTAGAATCCGCTGGTGAAGATGAAGAATCTGTTCAAAGTGACTTTGAATCTCTGTCGAAAGCGAATGAAAAATCAGGAACGTCTTCTATTGTTTCACACCTGAAATAATTTTGGGTTGCCGCTTTGGCCTGTCAGACGGTACATGAATTTAATTAACAGACCTTCATAGCTTCGAAAAGCTTGTGTGTGTTGGATAGCTCTGATTTTCTGCAAAAATTGATCATTTGGGG